CATACCTTCTTTTCTCGACAATGAATCTACTGTGCGAACCTCTTTAACGACAAATGGGTGTTGGAAATTCGTCTGGGATTCACTCACCGCCGTTCTCGACTTCGAATACGGCCCAAGCAACACCGCAAGAAATCTTTTCACAAAGGTCGTCAACCGCGTTCTTGCTCACCGTGATAACTCTCCGATCACCATGCTCCGCTTCGCTGCCCTCGCAAAAATCGACACAGTACTTATAGAGAAGTGTGTACAATATGCCTTGATCCACCATGTCCAAGAACTCGACATTGGAGCGTTTTGTGATGAGACATTCTTTGAAATGCCATCCGAGTTCTATATTAGCCAGTCTCTGAGAGTGTTAAAGTTGAGCAATGCTACTCCTACCAGATTGATTTTGAACCAAACGGTGGCCTTAACGAATTTGAAGTTTCTCCAACTCAAGAACTTCTTGTTTACGCATCAGAATTTCAATGCACAGATCTTTTCTGGGTGCCCAAATCTTGAAACTTTGGTTTTGCGCAAATGTGCCATTAGTCCTGGGGATAAACTGAAGGTTTTGAATGTTTCAGGGCATAAACTCAATGAGATACAGATATTACCTGGGAGATTTCCTTGGGCCTATGTTTATGATCAACAAATAGAGATTTGTGCACCAAGACTCGCTTGTTTTAAGTGCAAAGGCACTATTCCTGCAGTGTCCTTTAAGGGAAACATGCCTCGTTTGGACAGAGTGTCTATAGACTTGGATCATACAAGTTCTTATGAAATGGGTTGTGCAACTGAGAGAAAAAATAAGATGGAGGAGATCTTGATTAACATGGTTGGTGATCTCTGGAACGCGCCGTACATCTTCCTGTCCTTGAAGACTATGATGGTACTGATGAAACTTCCAATCAATTTGTCTCGTGGCATGCTCATGTGGTTCTCATTCGTGTCATGTCATGTAGTTGTGTCTATTTAATTTTAAAATAATTCATGGAGTATTGGATGTAGAAATTAAAAAAATTCATATATATATAATTTTTTGCTATAATGCCAATAAACAGAGGCTGTTATTTTCTGTCACTAAACCAATCCCTTTTATTTTTCGTATTAAATTATCGCATCATTTGTGGGTTTGTATCATATTAGTGTCAAATTTATAACATTGACATCTTTTTGTATTTAGGACCAACTACTTGGCAGCTCATAACCAAAAGAAATGAAAGTTTCCCTCTGTCCTATTAAAAGGTTTACATTTAAGAAGTGAATGCTACCATTTCATTGACACTTTCTGAGAGATCTTTCTTGGTTTTGTCGTGGTGGTGGTGGAGGTTTTGAGGTGGTCGTGGGGGGCCGCCGCGGGGAAGGGGTGGGGGGTTTGGAGTGGAGAATGGGGATCCTGTTCTGTTCTATTTTTTGGTGAATTATTCCATGAGAATATTCTGGGAATAGTGATATTCAAAAGGGAAATGTTAGAGTTGGGATCCAAAGTATGTTATGTTACTGCCAAACTTAAATAAAATAAAACAAAACAGCAAAATCATTTTTGCTAAAGGGATGTGTTTTTTCTTGTTCCTAGATTCTCCTCGACATTTCTAATCTATGTGAACGTGGAGCCTCTACATTAAGGGGTCGAAGTTTGAAAGCAAATAATAGCCACACAGACAGGAATGGATCTTCTGATGCTATTATCGACCCCTGGACCGCTGCCATTGAGAAGCCCTTGATCTTGGATCTCCAAAAGGTATGGACAGCCTTATTGTGAGTGCAGAGAGATCGTTTCCGTGTTGCTCACATTGCAAATTCAATATAAATTTTTTTATTTTGTGGTCGTATGGGGCAAGAAGCATTTCAGGTAGATAAGGTCATATTTCTTTAGAGTTTAATGGAAGAAATATGATTTCAGAACCTCATTTTGCCATGATCTCAGAATAAACTAGAGATATCATTTCATGACCTCATCAAGTTGGCTACAAAAGGATTCATCATCATCATCTGATGTATTTGTCTTGTTTTGCAATTATAGAGCAAAAAAGAAAAAAAAAAAAAAGTTGCTAAGCTCCTTTCTGCTATCTGCCATGTGCAGAGCTGCCTAGCAAGTGACTTCAATATCCAATTTATTCTTTAATTTGCTTTCTGTTTTTTTTACCTTAAATTTCTTAGGACCTCTAGGTATAAATTTCTTAAAACAATTGGCATGAAGACTTTCTAGAACAAAAACTATTAGGAGAAGTATTTCGCTAAAGTGGCTATTTTTCCCCCTGCTGGTTATTTATTTGCAATTTTGTCATTTACAGGAACACAGAATGTGTCCAAGTTTTGAAGTCAAACGTAAAGGGAAAATCTTGCTGTATGCACCAACATATGTTACGACCTACTTACACCAAAGCTTTCCACGTGCAGACACTTTCACTTTCGAGCTTCCTGAGGTGCTGATTTATCTTTTCACTTTATTCAGTAATCACTTATATTACTACCTGTTCAAAGCCAAAGAAAACAAAATGCAGGAAACAGTAAAGCAAAAGAAGAAAGGGGAATTAGCTTTAATGTCTCACATTGGGTGTTATATTTCTTTCAGTCAGATCTTATGACTCTTATCCAATGAAGAAGAGTAATGAGCATTGGTGGGTGTTGGCTGTACAACATACTGGCAGCACCTGAGGATAGGTACATAGGTTTTGGTCTTTTGCACTCTCTCAAGAATGCTGCTTGTTGGAGAGAAAATGGTCAGTACTTCTACTTGTGACATCAGTGATCTAATCGTTGTACTCAAATTCATAGCCATAGATTGTGTTGAAAGTACAAACTGTTCCTTTGAACATTCTTTCCCGATGGGGAGCATAGGTAATACATTACCAGCTAGGTTTACATGAACTGTACAGTTAGCCATTTTCCTTTGATGCTTTGTGCTTGCTGTAAAGTCATTCATGATGTAATAGATAGTAGGGTTAGAAAATTTGCACATCTTTGTTCCTTTCAGTTGAATTTTTCAATTGTCCAATTGTTTAAAACAATGTATTCCCTTAGTTAGTTCCCAATTTTAATAAGAAAGTAAAAAAAATTCATGGTTTTAGTCCCCAATGCAATTCTTATAGCTGCAAGAATGAATGCTTAGTAATCCTTTGCTGCATTACCAATAGATCTTTATGTTTTTGCTATACAAGCAAAGCAGATATCATGAGAGATGGAAGAGCAAACAGAGGAGTAACCGGGCTGATAGAACCATAATGAGCAAAAAACATTTAGACATCCAAGGACATAAAAAGAAATTGAATAGCAAAAGTCGATGAAAACAGATGAGATACAATAAGCAGAGGAGATGGGATGATCAGAATTCAGAAACTTAAAAGAACTGGAAGCGTAAATCATTGAGGGAAGAAGTGGTACATTAAATCCTTCATCTTGAACTTGAGCTAACATAAAATTTGAATTCCTCCAACTTACTGGAAATCAAGTGGGACCAATCAATATGACAGTGTCTTGTGCCTCTATATCCCCATGACAACTCAAATTCGAATTTTTATACTTGAATACTGTGTTTAAAATTTTAAACTCCAGAGTTATACGATTTCAATTTGGCTTCTTCTTTTTTTAAGTTTGACAATTAAAGGTATTCGAACTAACTTACGTGCATCTCAACTAATCCTCTCTCAGTCTGATTAAAAGCAGGTCATCTACGATTAAACTAAGAAATGTATAAGAGATAAATCATTCATAGCCTGACACTAAAAAGCAGTGTTTTCAGAACCGGACCGGACCGGTTCAACTCTGACTCCGGGACCTCAACCGGTCCGATTCACTAGTTAAACAGCATAAGGAAGTGAACCGGATAAAAACCGCCAAACCAGCCGACTTTTGAAGAAAATCGTGAACCGGACGGTTTTTTAAAACCGGACCGATTTGAAGTCCATTTAAAAAAAATGAAAAATTATAAATATGATGTTTTGTTTTTAATTTTGGACATTTTGATTTGCACTAAATGGCATAAGGCAGAGACCACTCAGACCAATGCTCTTCGTCTTCGTCTCACCACCAGGGAGGCAGCGATCAACTCAGGCAGGCAGCGATCCTTTCTCCTTTCTCACATATAATCATGTTGGTGTTGGTTCATTGTTCATCACCTCTGGTTTTTTTTTATCAAAAAAAAATCACCATCTTAGTACATAGGAACAAGAAAGAGAAACAAAAAATGGTTGAATTTGAGGGAAGATTGGGGAGTTTAGACCTCCCCCATTTGATTTCTATGGTGGCAAAATGACATAAACTATTTGCATTTGCTGGGTTTGTATTTTCTATTTGCATTTGCTGGGTTTTGTATTTATTACAGTGTTTGCACTTTGTTTTGTATTTATTTTGTTCTGTCCCTTCTTTTAATCATTTTTTAATCTATTTGCTCAATGTGATTTTCATTTACTTGAAAATATTTTATTCTGTTTTTTTCAATCTGCTAAATACTTAATTTTATTTTTTATGAGCAAATTATATGCATTGTGGATATGTTTCATATTTTTTAGCTAAATTATTATATTAAATAATATTTATAATATTTTTTAATTTTTTATTATATGACCGGTTCGACCAGTTGACCTAACGGTTGAACTAGTGAACTATTAACCCGATCCCCTTATCAGCTTGATGCCCGATCCGATTTTGATAACATTACGAAGAAGTTATAAAGATTCGAACTCGAACTCGAACTCAAAGTCAAACTCAAGATATCAAGATATCTAAGTTTATAGATTGTTGCTATTTCCATTTGAGACACTCGGGTACAAAACTCAAACTAATGTTCGGCGTGAAATCGAGTGAAAATAGGGTTTCAATCTTGGATTGCGCACTAAAGTTAGAATTTGAGTTGATTTCAGTTCAATGCAGGGTGAGCCCTATTTCACTCATTTGGGTTAGGTTCCAGTTGGGTGCCGAAAACCCAAAGCCTCAACTCAATTGTTGTCCAAATTTAAATTTGATCCAAATTTATTGAGTAAATTTCACTTAAGCATAATTTCAAAAAAACCCACTCTATTTTTTAAAATATCACTAACACCCTTTGTCAGTAATTATGGGTAACGGAATAAAGGAAAGTGGTCATTTACAAAATTACCCTTGATAGATTACATCATTTTACATGTTTAACCTCTACGTATATGTATAGATATATATATATGTATAAATTACTAATGCCTACCCAAATTGACATCAAATTAATTAGTTTCATCAAATTAATTAATATCAATTTGAACTTCAATTTCATCAAATTGACAATTAATTTCATCACTTTAACACCAAATTAATATTCAATTTCATCAAATTCATATCTGATTTCATCAAATTAATATTTTAAAATTTAATTTTATCAAATTAATATTCAATTTATTTAATTTAAAATTTAGTTTCATCAAATTGATATTTAATTTTATTTATTCAATTTCATAGTACCACTAATTTCAACAATTTAACACCAAATTAATATTTAATTTCATTAAATTCGTATTCAATTTTTTCAAATTAACATTTTAAAATTTAATTTTGTCAAATCAACATTCAATTTATTTAATTTAGAATTTAGTTTCATCAAATTGAACTTTAATTTCATCAAATTACCAAATTAATATGAAATTGATCTTAAATTTTATCAAATTACCACTTTATTTCTTCCTGTTAACATCCAATCTTATCAAATAGATATTCAATTTTATCAAATTAACATTTAATTCTGTCATAATTACATTTGATTTCATCAATTGAACATTTAATTTATCAAATTAACATCATTTGTTTTATTTAATCCCAAATTAACCTTCATTTTCATCAATCAAAACTAAATTTTCATTTCATTTTATAAATTAACATTCAATTTCATGAATTGTACATTTAATTTTACTAAATTAATATCATTTCTTTAATTTAATACAAAATTTACTTTCAATTGTATCAAATTAATATTCAATTTTATGAATTTAAGATTTAGTTTTATCAAATTAATATTATTTTTTAAATCACTAAATTAATATTTAATTTCATCAAATTGACATTCAGTTTAATCCAATTAACATCTAATGTAATCAAATTAATATGAGATATTGTCCATTACTTTAAGTAGTAAGTAATATTTTAAAAATCAGAAAGGGTGCTAATAAAATATTGTTTAAATCTAGGGAGTGTGAGTGAAATCTACCCAAATTTATTTTACTCAAGTTTTATCCAAGTATTAAAAATCTCTATTCACTGACTAAATATTTTAGTTAAGTTCGAATTGTGTTTCTTATTAGCTCGCTTAAATTGCATCCCCAGCTAATGAGATCCATTAAGACCTAATGAGTATATATTAGTAATTAAATTTGACTAAATTTCATATTGTGAAGACCAATTGGTAAAAGTTTATATATACGAATTCTTATGGCTAATAACAAAGTGAAGTGTATAAATCCGAATTTCTCAATTCTAAATTTTGGAATAAGATTTTTTAATTTAATTTTGATTTTATTAATTTTGATCAATTTTAATTATTTGTGATTTCAAAATGTAACATTTACATTAATTTAATAGTTTTTTTTTTTTTGAAATGAAACAATGAGATAATGTTATTAATTCAAAGAGGATACATCGAAGTTAACAAGAAAGTAGGACATTTAAATTTCATCCCTATGAACCCAAGATGCTAAAAAATTACTGAAATTTTGTTCACACAACAACATATATATATATAATCCACAAAATGGTCAATGTTTTGTCAATCGCATTTGTCATGAACTCACTACTTCAATAACAGCTTTAGAGTCTCCTTCCAAAATAATCCTTTGCCACCGTAGCTTTAATACTATCCTCACTTAGAATTCCTTCAATCTTCTTGCAAACTCCCAACAGAAAACTTACCTTCATCATCCTACACTACAACGCTAATACCAAAACAACCTTCATTCCCAAAAACAACCCAATTAAAATTTAAGCTTCACCTCTCCTGGTCGAGGTGGAAACCCAATTCACAAAAGTTTAATAGTTGATGATAGAAGTAGACAACGATATGAATGTATGGAAAAATACAATTTTACCCTCTAAGGAACGGATAAGTAGTACGGATAATGTCCTCACGTTCTTATGTCGCTTCCTCTACTCCACGGTGTTGTCACAATACCTTCACCAGCCTTACAATTTTACCACGCAAAATCTGCTATCGACTGTCCATGATATTATAAGACACTGATCAAAATTATTATAACATCCATAAAGCTATTAAATTGTCTCGAACCTTTTTAGTTAAATTATGGACTTAATTTCACTTTAATCCTTACACTATTGAATTTTTTACATTATTCCCTCAACTACTTATATTAAATTTTTTACATTATTTTCTCAAGTACTTGAATTATTTCACATTGTTCCAAGTACAAACGTCATTTATCTTTTTAGAAGGAAATTATCAATTTGTAAGAGCAAAGTGAAAAAATTACATAGTTTGAGAGAAAAATGAAACAATTTTTTGTTAAATTTATAGTGAACGTTAATAATTGAGACAATGCAAAACTAACCATGTCCTATATTTTTTGGGGAAAAATATGATTTTTAAGGGTGATGTGGAAACATTATCATAGTTGAGGGGGGTCAAATTGTAATTGTCCAAGATTTGAAAATGAGAGTACGCTCCCAAAGTCCAAAGTCCAAAACCTTATGGTCGGCATATATATATATATATAATAACGATTCTTCGTCACACCAAGGAGGAGCGCAATCCTCAGTTTGTGGCATGGAAACAAACTAATCGACGTCTCAAAGGATGGATCACAAGCACATTTTCAGAGCATGTTTTGGGTCTTTTCGTCGGCCTCAACACTGCTGCTGATGTTTGGAACGCCCTTGAGAATGCCTTCGCACAAAATTCTCAAGAAGGAGAACTAAATCTTCTTCAACAAATGACCTTAATAGGTAAAGGTACCGATTTTTCACTTGAGTATTTGGGAAAATTTAAGCGAATTTGTGATGATCTTTCAGCCATTGGAAAACCAGTCCCCGATAGAAATAAATTCTTTTGGTTACTCAACGGGATGGGACAAGGGTATGAAACTTTTGTGACCTCTATGCTAAAGCCTCCTATTCCATCATATTTGGATATACAACTTTGAGTTTAATGATGATGGGTTTATTGTCAAGAACAGGATCAAAGGACAAGTAATAGTAAGAGGAAGTAGGAAAAGTGGTCTCTATGCTTTGGAGACAAAGCACTGTGTGCATTGTTCTCTACAAGATTCAAGAGTATCAATAAAGATGGATGGCATTAGCGACTGGGACATCCACAACAAGAAGTGGTTGATTTTTTGGGTCATCAAAACTTTATTTCTTTCAAGCCCAATAATAACATTGGTTCCATTTGTGAAAGTTGTCAACTTGGCAAGTCTTGTAGACTCCCATTTATCCCAACTGATCATGAATACAATGAACTGTTCATGAAAGTGCATTGTGATTTATGGGCCTCTGCTCCTGTTCTTTCTCGTGACAATTTTCGATACTATGTCATTTTCATTGATCATCACACAAGAGTCGCATGGTTTTATGCTATGTGCAATAAATTTGAGTTTTATGATACCTTTGTCCACTTCAGCAACTTTATCCAATGTCAATATGACGGTAGGATTAAAAATTTTCAATCGGACAAAGGCGGTGAATTTGCAGACACTAGATTCAAGGAACTCTTGATTCAATTGGGGGTACTTCATCAATCATTATGTCCAAAAACCCCAGAGTTGAATGGGATAGCTGAGTGCAAACATCGAAACATCACTGAATTAGGATTGACAATGATGTTTCATGCTAATATTCCTCACGTTTTTGGTTTGATTGTTTTTGCACTGCAGCATTTCTCATAAATCGTCTTCCTTCCCTGCAACTTAGAATGGATTCCCCATTTTTTTTGACTTCATGGGAAAACACCAGACTATTCATCTCTGCGCATTCTTGGATGTAAATGTTTTCCATATTTGGGTGATTACCGCAGGTCAAAGTTGGAAACTAAGTCGTTGCCTAGTGTGTTTCTTGGTTACGGTATCAAACATAAAGGGTACAAGTGTTTTTACCCACCTATAGGTCGTCTTTGTATTTCGCGTCATGTGGTGTTCGATGAGACTTGTTTTCCCTTAAAGAACACACTCATCTGCAGGGGTCTCATTCCAATCCTGAAGACATTACAACATTCAATGACTGGACTGCTGCTATGCCTCAACAACATGATTCTGCGGGTCCCTGTGATGCTATTTCCATGGCCCAGCAATGGGCAAACCCTCACCATGAACCAGCAGTTCTTCCCAGCAATTCTGCTGAAACTATGCTTAATGATCCTCCTCAAGCTACAACTTCCCAAGCACGTCAACAATCAGATCACCTTGAAACTCTCACCGATGATCAGAAACCAGCAGAAACACATGATCAACGATCCACTACACTCAGAATTTCCCCAAAAACCATGGCCACTGAACTTCCAGAACCTTATCCTCACACAGAAAATGAACCATCACATTCCTTTGACCAATCTACCACTTCCCCGCCTACACATGCAACCACCAGTCATGCGCACCCTCAAATTATTACTCGTTTCCAACATGGAGTCTTCAAGCTGAATCCGAAATAGAGCAGTGCTAAAAAATAGATTTAAAAATTAGATTTGATAATTTCAATCACTGACTTCACTGTGGGTCTCAGTATTTATTAAGACTTATTACCTATTCAATGATTAAAATTATCAAGTCTAATTTTTTAGTCTAGTTTTTAAGTTCATCTAATATTATTCATCTGAAAGAGCAAACTCTTTCTACTGCACTTATTCCCCTTGAACCCAAATCCATTAAAACAGCCTTAGACATGCTGGTTGGATGGCAGCTATGCGTGAAGAACTTGACGCTCTTCATGCTAATAGTACTTGGAACCTTGTTCCACGCAGAGCCTCTCAAAATGTGGTCGGTTGTAAATGGGTTTTTGAACCAAAATTGTACTCAGATGAAAGTCTTGAACGTCTCAAAGCACGATTGGTAGCGAAAGACTTTCATCAGCAGGATGGATTTTTCTGACACATTCTCTCCGGTCATCAAACTTGTAAGTATTCGTATTATTTTAGTCATCGCAGTGGTTCGGTATTGGGATCTCCGACAACTTGACGTTAAAAATGCATTCCGTCATGGTTATCTCCAAGAACCTGTCTACATGGAGCAACCCCCGGGTTTTCTGGACTCGATTAATCCACATCATGTTTGTCGACTTAAACGGGCTGTTTATGGTCTTAAACAAGTGCCTCGGGCATGGTTTGATCGTTTAAGTCTCTTCTTGTTCAATATGTGTTTCTGCTGTAGTACTGTAGATCCATCACTTTTTGTTCATCACTCTGCTCGTGACACCCTTCTACTTCTTCTTCATGTGGACGACATGGTTCTTACCGGGGATAATTCCTTCTTTTTGGACTGGTTTGTAAGTGAGGTGGGATGTGAATTTTCTATCAAGGACTGTGGTGATCTTCACTACTTTCTTGGTATAGAAGTTCACCGGATTCCTGAAGGGCTTTTTCTTTGTCAATCCAAGTATGTGCAAGACCTCCTTGCTCATGCCCAAATGACAAATTGTAAGCCTTTTCATACTCCTATGACTCTCAAGGGTCACCTTCCTTCCACTGATGATGTTCTTTTCTAGACCCAACATATTATCGAAGTATTGTTGGTGCTCTACGATATTTGACATTCACTGACCAGATATTGGCTACAAGCACTCTTGACGTTTTTGGATTTTCTAATGCTGATTGGGCCGGATGCCCTCTCACTCGACGTTCCATTATCGGATTTTGTAGTTTTTTGGGTAATAACTGTATTTCATGGAGTGCAAAGAAGCAATCCATTGTGGCTAGGTCAAGTGCTGAAGCAGAATATTGATGTATGGCTTCTACTCTTGTCGAGTTGACTTGATTTCTTATCTCCTCCGTGATGTCAGCGTTTTTCTCTCTAGCCCATCTATCTTATACTGTGACAATCTTAGTGCCCTTTTGCATGACTATTAATCCCATTTTACATGCTCGTACCAAAGATATTGAAATTGAAATTGATTTTAATTTTATTTGTGAGAAATTGCTCTGGGTAGTCTCATTACCCGGTTTGTGCACCCAAGAAAACAATTTGTGGATATTTTTATGGGTTAATTACAGATTGTATCCTGAAATATCGTTTGAATCTCAATTTGTATCCTCGGAGATAAAAAATTTTAATTTATACCATTAAATATAAAAATTTGTATCAATGTGTATCCCCAAAGATCAAAAATCTCAATTTACATCTTCAAAGATAGAAATTTGTATCAATGTGCACCTAAAACTAACTGCCGTCAATTTACTGGCTAAAATTAAATTGATAAATTATACTTAGATCCCCTTATATTTGTCACTTAATCTTTATGACCCTTTCACATTTAAAATATTACTCTTACATCTCATGATGTTTGTGCACCTGTAATACGTAACCCTTTTTCGTTGATATCTGTTAATATAACCATTAAAAAAAATATGATTTTGTCCTAATAAATAATTATTATTTCATATTACCCTTTATTTTGTGGATCCGATATATTCTAAAATTCAAAATCAAACTTACCATTTGAATATTCAATAGGATGTAGGTATTTATATAATTTTTTTATATGCAATACAATATATCACTTAAAACATAATTATTTGAATACCCAAATTGGAGGGACATTTTAAATTGAGAATAGTTTTATTAGGATTTTATAATCGCTAAAAAATATGATTTCAAGCTAATAAAAAATTATAATTTTATATTCCCCTTTATTTTTTGAAGGAATCCAAATGATTAAGTAACAAATACGAGGGGATCTAGATATAATTTATCAATTTAGTTTTAAGCAGCAAATTAACGGCAGTTAATTTTAGGTGCACATTGATACAAATTTTTATCTTTGAGAGTACAAATTAAGATTTTTGATCTTTGAGGGTGCACATTAATATAAATTTTTATTTTTGAGAGCATAAATTAAAATTTTTAATCATTTGAAGTGTAAATTAAAATTCAGAAAATCTTTTCGAAGCGCAATTAGGAGTTATCATACTTGGCCTTTGTCCCCCGCCTCGTTTGAGGGGGAGTAATAGGGATTCTTCATCACACCAAGAGTCCACTACTCAACAAAGTGATGCATCGTCCAGTACTCCACCACGTTATGACTATCAAGCAAATCTCTCTGTGTGTCTTGGATATGGATAGAATCCTCTTAAACCTAACAGATATTGTTGTTATCATATTAGACTTACTAGCTTCAATTTCAAACTCTTTGAGTTTATCTGTATTATCTTATCACGTAAACTTCACCGATTATAAATGACAACAACACTACTCTAATCTCAATAGAGAGACAGAGACAGAGACAGAGACAGTTTTCTCGAAAGTCTATTAATATATACTTGTATCGCTCGTCGGACTTCTGAATTCTGATCAACTCCAGCACAGTGTCTCCAGTTCTACGATTACCACTCTCCTTCTTGATCTCAATTTTCAATTTTTTTCAGAAATCCTCAGAGAAACTGATCTCTCTCTCTCTCTCTCTCTCTCGCTTGTTCATCACCGACCCAGAAATCTTTGCCCACCACATCCCCATTCTTGATCCTGGCATTTTCTCGAATGCGTGGTGAGCTTCGTTTGCGTTAATCATGGAAGATATTGATGGACTCAGCCCAGAAGAAAAAAATATCCTCGGATTCATAACTTCTTTTCTCGACAATGACTCTGTTGTGCAAGCCTCTTTAGCGTCAGATGGGTGTTGGAAATTCGTCTGGGATTCACTCACCGCCGTTCTCGACTTCGAATACGGCCCAAGCAACACCGAAAGAAATCTTTTCACAATGTTCGTCAACGGCGTTCTTGCTCACCGTGATAACTCTCCTATCAGCATGCTCCGCTTCGCTGCCCTCGCAAAAATCGACACAGTACTTATAGAGAAGTGTGTACAATATGCCTTGATCCACCATGCCCGAGAACTCGACATTGGAGCGTTTTGTGATGAGACATTCTTTGAAATGCCATCCGAGTTCTATATTAGCCAGTCTCTGAGAGTGTTAAAGTTGAGCAATGCTACTCCTACCAGATTGATTTTGAACCAAACAGTGGCCTTAACGAATTTGAAGTTTCTTCAACTCAAGAACTTCTTGTTTACGCATCTGAATTTCAATGCACAGATCTTTTCTGGGTGCCCAAATCTTGAAACTTTGGTTTTGCGCAAATGTGCCATTAGTCCTGGGGATAAACTGAAGGTTTTGAATGTTTCAGGGGATAAACTCAAAAGATAGAGATATTACCTGGGAGATTTCCTTGGGCCTATGTTTATGATCAACGAATAGAGATTTGTGCACCAAGACTCGCTTGTTTTAAGTGCCAAGGCACTGTTCCTGAACTGTGCTTTAAGGGAGCCATGCCTTGTTTAGACAGTTTGTACATAGACTTGAGCCATCCAAGTTCTTATGAAACGGCTGTTGTGGACGAGAGAAAGGAGAAGATGGAGGAGATTTTGATTAACATGATTGGTGATCTCTGCAACATGATATATATCTTTCTGTCCTCGAAGACCATTGAGGTACTGATGAAACTTCCAATCAATTCGTCTGGTCCAATTTTCAGTACTAATTTATGATGTTAACAATAGTTATTCTCCATTCTTTTTGAGCTGCAGCTCATGTTACTTCAGTCCCCTGTTCTGTTCTATATTTGTGAAGTAGGCAATGAGAATATTATGGGAATAGTGATACACAAGAGGGAAAGATTAGCGTTGGGATCCATTAAAAAAAAAAAAACAGCAAGCGCATATTTGCTAAGGAATGTGTTTTTTCTTGTTCCCAGATTCTTTCTGCTATTCCCAATCTGTGTGAACGTGGAGCCTCAACATTTGGCAATTT